ACACCATTCGTGAACACTGTTATTTACAAGTAATCATAATAAAATGTGTCTAACAATGTATTTCCCTCCTCTTACAAAGACAGCTACATTCCCTGATAATAACAAAGTGCTATGACGTCACGCCGATATTTGTTTGTTTGTTGTTTAACACCGCACTCAGCAATATTCCAGCTATATGGCGATGGAGTGTAAATAATCGAGTTTGGACCAGACAATCCAGTGATAAACATCATGAGCATAATTTTGCTGTCATGCAGAGGGGTTAGGTTGAAATGACATTGTTGTTAAAAAGAGCATCACAGAGCTAGTCTCATTTATTTTGGTCATTATCAATTTACTACCTGTCTTAAGAAAAGGGCCGCCTCCGTGGTGTAGTGGTTAGAGCGTCCGCCCGGAGAGGGGAAGGTCGCAGGTTTGATCCCCGACCGCGCCATACCAAAAGACTTTAAAATATGGTACTTGTTGGTCCCTGCCTGGCGCTCGGCATTAATGGGTACAACAAGGACTGGTCGGCTCGGAGTCAGTATACTGTGTCTGAGTGGGGTATTCATGCTTCACTGTGGCATGGTATCTCAGTGAGCTAGCACTATAAAACCAGCTTAAGTCTGGGCTAGTACAAGCAGCCGCACATACACATACACACGCATGCACGTCGTCATATGAGCGAAATATTCTCAAGCACAACGTTAAACCCAATTTCACCTCACCTCACCTAAGATTTAATGCATTTCTTATTTGACATATAATGCCGTATACTATGAAGATTTGACTAGCTGTCAATGATTCTGATACACACTCAGTGTATCATACAATGGATACACAGGTACTATGTTGAAAAGGAACACATGGTTCAGGACAGTGTAAGTTTCGCAATGAACACAAAAGAATTTACCCTCCTAACAGTTGTAAAACATCAAAACACATTCTTCTTTGTCATTTTTAAACATCCTTTTAGAATATAGAACAGATATTTCTTGCTGAATGTCAATAAATACTACAATATCATTTGTTTGTCATCAGCTACAAACTGCGAGATGAAAGCACATTTTTCTCATTGCATAATAACATAGAGGCAAAGTTCACAGACCAACAAAACAACACATTACAGTGGCACCTTCTTAATCAAGACTCTTGAACGCCACTTACAAAATAAATAACAATTCATTCATATGTAATCTAGCTAAACCTGAAACTAGTTGATTTGAAAGATTTTCAGGTTAACTATGTTTCAATGTATACATGAGTTTCGATTTAAAAATAAAACTTTCAACATCCAATTCTGGAAAACGTAACAATCATCACATTGTGCTTATATACGGAGGTTGAAGGTCAGCTGTCCCTCTCATCTCTTTGCCCAATTTGCCTCCGTAAACTGAGAAGTTCATCTGACTTTGTGCTTGCGTAATGATGGTACATCATCTTAACTCCTGTTACTACAGATAGTCTCAGTCGAAGATTGTACTTGAACGAGTTCTTTTTGTGTTTTACTGCTCGACGATACCGCACTTCCAAATCTTTGATTTTCTGATCCAAGAGGATAATTTGTTGACAAGCCCTCTCGAACTTCGTCCTGGCTTCCGATAGTTTTTCATCCAGATGTGTGTCAGAATTTGAATCTGACATTGTGAATCGGAGTGAATAGATTTAATTCCTGGAATTGATGATAACAATCTTGATGAGGTACATCAATACAAACTGAATTCTTTGAAAGTTCAGTTCAGGAAATAGTACATTATATATATCCGCTGTCTTCATTGATATGAGAGTTTGGCAGTGGTTCTACATGAAATTGAAGCATCAATGATCCAGCCATGTAATTGATTAAACAGGAAGTTCTTGGGTAAATGTGAGGCACCCTTTGCATTTAATTATTTTTCAAAACATTTTAAACTGTTAATTTGAATTGAGTCTGTCAGACACTTCCCGTATATTTCCTTATATAAACACACACGTCACACTTGTACAACCAAAGTTTACGAACAAGACGAAATTATTGTCAACACAATATTCACGCCTTTTCTCGTCTTCCAACTTCCATTTCACTCTTCGTTGATGTGGATGGTCATTTGTCCTGTTGTCGATCGGGCAGGCACGTTATGACAAACTCAGGGTTTCCACCGGCCAACAAACAGAATGATTCCATACATATATGAGTATGTTTCGTTACACGTTGTCTGTCGAAATACCTGTTGTCGTTTCTGATAAACAGATGGACAAGTTGAGAATATTCGAGTCGTGTTTGCCGGCACGTCGATGTAATTTCCGTTCAACCATCAGTACGAAAACCGGTGTATATACGGAAGAAAGTGAATCCTGTGATACGGGGAAGGGGTTTTACCTTTTCAGACGGGATTGTGTCATATATGACGACTAATCAGCCATTATCACATGTAAAACACAGCACTTGTCAGCTGGAAAGTATCAACATCCGTTTGTCTTAGCGAGGCTGTGCCCTCTGACCTCTACCTCATGAGCTATTTATAGCAGAACACGTGCTCGTTTTGTCTACGTACACTGGATAACGTCATCTCGCAGCCAAATAAAAATATGTGTGCTGTGTTACTTAAATCATTGTTGGATTAAAATACTATGAGCTATTAAGTAAATAACACCTCTTAGTAAAGCGTTTGGTGTAATAACTGCGCGGCATGTTTTCAATTACATACAAATACACCCCCCTCCCACTCTGGTCATTGAAATCCCTAATACATGTACCAGGGAGACTATATAACGTTGTAGATTATCCCTGCTAATACCAACTCTTGTGGGTGTGTTTGTTTTACATATAGTTGTAGATACTGTTCAATTATAGGCTTGATAAATTGCATCTCTTTAATCTTTATTTAAAAAAAGATCCTTAAAATATTCCTAGCATGAATCAGGGCGCTTTCTTCATGCAAAATTTGGGGGCGGTGGGGTAGCCTAGCTATAGTGGTTCAAGCGTTCGCTCGTCACGCCGAAGACCTGGGTTCGATTCCCCACATGGGTACAATGTCTGTAGCCCATTTCTGGTGTCCCCCGCCGTGATATTGCTGGAATATCGCTAAAAGCGGCGTAAAACCATATTCACTCACTCACGAAAGTGTACACTCAATACGTAACCGAACAACCACATTAGTTAAACAGCATTTTTATTGTAGCAATTTGTAGTACGTATATATTACGATGATTTGCGTTCATTTTCTCCTATTGTTGTATCCTGGAAATACACTGAACGCCCAGTATAATCACTAGAAACAGTACTGGAAGCTGCGGTGGCTGAGTGGGTTAGACGGCTGATTTTGTGGTGGCGATTAGGTGGGACCCAACAAAAGTCCCAGAATCTGAACATTACTGAGAAAGTGTAATCCCAAATATAACATATGTGTACAGTACTTCGATCGATAATGACGATGTTTAGCGGTGGGGTCTGGCATTGGTTCTCATATACTCGGCGTCATCCCATCCGGGATTCGATCCCACACTCTACGAATCAGGCAACTAACCGCCAGCACACGACCGCCTCCGTGGTGTAGTGGTTAGAGCGTCCGCCCGGAGAGTGGAAGGTCGCGGGTTCGATCCCCGACCGCGTCATACCAAAAGACGTTAAAATATGGTACTTGTTGGTCCCTGCCTGGCGCTCGGCATTAATGGGTACAACAAGGACTGGTCGGCTCGGAATCAGTACGCCTGCACGTCGTCATATGAGTGAAATATTCTCAAGCACGACGTTAAGCCCAATATGAGTGAAAATTTCACCTCACCTCACCGCCAGCACACAAAGTGAACCGTCTAATCGATTCAGCCACCGCGGCCTCCACAAGTATCTTACTTGTCACTTAGTTCATGACGCTTTCACACAAAAAAGACATGGTACTTTATGGATAACGTTGTCCTTATTATATTATGATGCGACGTGTCGGTATATCCCTGTTACATGTATAACCTTATTATATTATGATGCGACGTTTCGGTATATCCCTGTTACATGTATAACCTTATTATATTATGATGCGACGTGTCGGTATATCCCTGTTACATGTATAACCTTATTATATTATGATGCAACGTGTCGGTATATCCCTGTTACATGTATAACCTTATTATATTATGATGCGACGTTTCGGTATATCCCTGTTACATGTATAACCTCATTTGTAAATTTACACGTGTGTGATGTAGGTAATAAAAGGAACCTTTTATATAGTATTAGGGTAGGGTCTATACACCTATATGTCTTTCTAACGCTGTTTCTAAGCGTGACACGCCCCTGTGATGCAAGCTGTGTATTTTTACACGTGTGTGATGATGTAGAAAATAATAGATTTGTATATTTACACGTCTGTTATGTGAGAAATGCAAGCTCTGTACATTTCGAGGGATGTGATACATGTAAATACAAACTATGTACATTCACAAATAATATAGAAAAGAAATATAATTTTTCTTAAATGAAGAAAATATAACAGTTGTACATTTATACGTTTATGATGTGGAAAATAAAGAAGGTGCACCTGTGTGATGTGGGAAATACAAGATATGTGTGTGATGTAGAAAATATATAATTTGTACATGTACAAGATATCTAAATGAACACGTGTGTGTGTGTGTGTGTGAGTGAGTGAGTGAGTGAGAGAGAGAGAGAGAGAGAGAGAGAGAGAGAGAGAGAGAGAGAGAGAGAGAGAGAGAGAGAGAGAGAGAGAGAGAGAGAGAATCGTCATAACTTTCCTATTATTCTATTCACCAGCATCTAAATGCCAATCAGATCACACGGCAAATCGTCTAGTAGGTTACAAACTGACGCATAGACAAACGTTTTCTTCTACCAGTGTGTATATACACACACGTGTTGTTTATCACTGCATCACACCTTACCACGTCGGCAAGGGCAACGATGTGTGTTGACGTGCTGCTGACAAGTCCAAGCCCCGTGCCGTGTAAACATACCCTGTGACAGACAGCTGCGCTAAAAATAGAAGCATCGCAGTGCAGAAAATCGATACTGCGCATGCGCTTTGAATGCACAATGTAATGGCCGGACCGAGTGTGTGTAACTTAACGCTATCGTGTCGGGGATATTCAAGGTGGGTTATGGCGATTACGCGGTGTGTTGTGTCGTATCTTATAGTCTAATGTGTGTTCATGCAATGTGGGAAAATGGTTTTGTAGGATGGTGTAAAAATACACACTAGGTGCAAGCATACTGGTTGGGTTTACACCAGCTGGCGTCCAGGTCACAGTGACCCAGTCAAGTCGTCACAATGGATGCGCGGATCACTGTCCTCTGCGGTTGGCAGGGCTAAGTTAATTTAACCATAAAATGCGTTATATCAGAGACCATATAATAGAATTGTATTTTTGATTTGAATTATTATTACTGTTTCGCTCGTGTTTGCTATTAGATCCACTGTTATTAACTGTGTGTCATATTGTGCTTATGCTTTCTTTAGTGTTGTAACACAGGGTCTCGCCGTTGAACGCACGCTGTCATTGTGTGTTATAATGAGGAAGATGTGTAGATGTTATGTTATGGCGCAGATAAAATTGTCAAACACAGGGCGTACTAATCTAACGTCTCTGATGGTATGCATGGGTGCAGCTTAGACTAACAACTAGTCTCTGAAATGAACATATTTTACTGAAAAAAAGTTCATAGTAAAAAAAATATATATATAATGAAAAGGAGCCCTGAGACTTTCTTCTGTGGAAATCTAGACTTGCCACATTTTCTAGACTTGCGTGGGCTTTCTTGGATATATTTGCTTCAGGGTCTGTACGAGAGACTAGGGTGCAGCTGTTTGGAAGAGAGAGCCAGTATCACTTACTTTACTACATGCAAGAGAACGTTTTCAACAAAATGCTACAAATGAATAATATATATATACATGTATATATTTCCTCTAAAGTAGAAGTTGCATTTGAAAAGGGACACCTCTGTGTTTAACGAAAACTACCGCATCTTAAATTGTATTGTTTTCTGCACACAAAAAAATATTTTCAAAACCTAGCACATAAATACGCGAATTTGTAAGAAAGGTATGTAAACAGAGGGAGGCGCAGTACCTGAGAGAACAGCAGGTGCGCCCGGGTGTGTTCGGAAACAGAACGTACCCTTTCTACCCCCCATTCCTTTCTTCCCCACCTTCTTCCTTACACGCACCCTCCCTTCCTCTAATTTGTGCGGGGCAGTGGGGTAGCCTCGTGGTTAAAGCGTTCGTTCGTCACGCCGAATACCCGGGTTCCATTCCCCACATGGGTACAGTGTGTGAAGCCCATTTCTGGTGTCCTCCGCCGTGATATTGCTGGAATGTTGCTAAAAGCGGCGTAAAACCATACTCACTCACTCTAAATTGGGCATATTTTATACTTAATAATTGAATGACAATATAAGTTTTCTTTATGAATTATCTATATCCTTATGATGTAAATTACAGATCTAATATTTGTAATGCCCTTTGAAATTTGACAAAATGGCTACCAGTGGTAATATAAATTTGGTAGAGGTAGATCACTTGTACTATTTAGGAATGAGAGATGAACAGCTAACAATTTTTTAAAAACAGATGTACTCATAGAGGAATAGAGGAAATTAGTAGACGTCTCTACAACTCTAGATACTACTACTACTACTACTACTACTACTACTACTACTACTACTACTACTACTACTGTTGTTTCTGCTACTGCTGGGGCGGTGGGGTAGCCTGGTGGTTAAAGCTTTCACTCGTCACGCCGAAGACCCGGGTTCGATTCCCCACATGAGGACAGTGTGTGAGGTCCATTTTTGGTGCCCCCCGCCGAAATATTGCTGGAATATTGCTAAAAGCACAATGGTGTTGATCACTGAATTATCTGGTCCAGACTCGATTATTTACAGACCGCCGCCATATAGCTGGAATATTGCTGAGTACGTCGTTAAACAAGGACTTGAAAACATTAACAATTACCTGTAGAAAAGCAGGGTAAGAAGCTCCCCAAAATTTCAGCCAGTCCACAGGGCTGGTAAGACTCGCCAGCCCTGACCAAAACTTACCCGCCCACAAATACTAATATACTTATATATGTCGAAATTGTAACCCGACCGACGGGCAGGTGAATTTGAGAATCTTGCAGCCCGTGTTGAAAATAACCCGTCCCGGGCAGTCGTGCAGTCGGGCAGGCAGGTATTTCGAACGCTGATAAAAGGTGATTGTCGAAGCGCATTATAAATAACTAACTCACTCACTCACTCTGTGTAGATGTACGCTGTCCGGAGTGTGCTGGTCAAGTGTGGAGATTCCCAGAAGCCGGTCCGGCTGAAGGAACCGTGGACAAGACAGCACCTCATGACGGTAAGTGACTGACAGTCTGTGTACATTCACATCATAAACAAACTCATACCTGGTCAGGTCGGGTTGGTTTCAGGACATGTCGTGTGAAGCGTTAGTAAAATCCTTATGTTGACACTCTAAACTCTCAGCAGTTGTCATGGGCAACTAGTTTGGTTTGGTTTGTTGTTTTACGCCGCACCCAACAATATGTCAGCTATATGGCGGTGGTCTGTAAATAATCGAGTCTGGACCAAACAATCCAGTCATCAACAGCATGAGCATCGATCTTCGCATTTGGGATGTGATGACGTGTGTCAACCAAGTCAGCGAACCTTACCATCCAATTCCGTTAGTCGCCTTTTAGCACAAGCATGGGCTGCTGAAACCAATTCTAGCTACTAGTAGTTAGTGAGTTCAAATTATAGTCACACCGGCAATATTTCCGCTGATAATATTATTAATAATAAATAAAGTTATATTATAAAATCTGTCGACAAAAGACAGTAAAATTACTAGATTATCACAGATAGAGAATTAAAACTGGCATGGAACTTTAAAATTAAACCTCTATTATGGACAATGCAATATAAAAACGGACTGGAGATTACCAGCAACGGAAGGAATATCACCATACTAGAGACCATCGGGACTTACCGTGCTTTTGCTACCTGTAGTCTGTCATACAGAACCTGAAGTAAATATATCCAAGAAATCCCACGCAAGTCTAGAAAATGTGGCAAGTCTAGATTTCCACAGCTTCAGGAATGAAGAAAGTCTCCGGGCTCCTTTTTATTATAATTTGATTTTTTTCAATATGAGCCTTTTTTCTGTAAAATGTGTTCATTTCAGAGACTAGTTGTTAGTCTATACTACTTGCATTTACATTTTAGTCTAATTTAGCCATCACTTATAATCATGAATATACTACGGTTAAAAATCTGGTAAGCTTAGATTTACTTGAATGTTTTGGCACTAACGTACCCCAACAGGACAATATTTTTTCAATCCTACTCCCACTGCAATGATGCAGCTACTAACAATCTCAGTTGTTTATTTAAACTACCAATAATAAAACATTATATGTTTACAAAACCTGTATCCAAATGTATCGAACAATTCTTGATGTAACAATAATACTATTGCTATTGTGTTAAAGACTTTCGATTTCTACACTGGCAGGTTATTGTGGAGCGGTTCAACTTGTCCCCTGCCACGCCCACTCTGCTGCAGGTCTATGATCCCAGCTGGGAAGCGTATGTTGACCTTGAAGATGGCGATGACATCCCTGACCGCAGCAGAGTCACCTGCATCGTCAACCCCAACATCTACAGCTCCGACATGAAACTCGACCAGTGTCCTAACCGAGGAGTGACCTCTCATAGCAAAGACATCCGGATCACTTACACGAATAATGTTTCTCCCAAGTTTGACTCGGTGAAGTCTGAGAAATGCGTGCAGTTGCCTTACGGGCGACAGTACTCAGAACACAGCGTAAAAATACCATTCCAAACTAATGAACGATCATTTTATGCACATCCAGTTCAAGAGAACAATGTACTTGGTGACAGACCTGTGCTTCTTACACATGAACCGGAAGCTGATGCCCTTCCCTCAGCGCCACCTGGAGTTTCTGTGCCAACCCCCACATCACCCTTTTCGGCCGGAAGTCCGGCTCAGGACGAACCCGAAGATGCAGACGGGCCCCTCACTATTGATCTGTCTGGTGAAGAGTTAGTTCCCTTGTCTGATGACGGGCAGAATGACCCAGAAGACCTGGAGTATATGCCTGAGGTGCATTTCCAGACGTCATCCTGGCCGTGTCCTTATGTTCTTCCGAGTGACATATTTCCTCAGAAGTTGAAGAGAGCGCTAGAGAACCAGGAGCAGCTTGACTGGTCCTTGAGGCACATCCTGGTCCAGGGGATCGCCGACTCCATCTTGAGGTACACCACCTATCCTTCACAGTCTCAGAAGAAAGAGGTCATATCTGCTCTGTTTGAAAGGTACCCCTACCTCGCTATCGACGGAGCAAACAGCTTCAAGCGGTGGAATCACATCTTCACGGAGAAATTCAAGAACATACGGCGAAAGATGAACACACCGGAAGTTGTCAGGCGGAAGCGGAAGCGCAGTGAAGAAAGGCAGTCTGAATTTCCGGCTGTGGTTGATGCCAGATTTGTCACTGGATTCGTCAAAAATGACGCTTTGGACGATGAATCTTTGGACATTCAGGTTTACGAGAACTCCTCACCCATCAATACATCACACACTGACGACAACAGCCAAGATAAAGACCCAGCGCATCAGGCAGAGGAAGCCCTGCACCCATCCTACTTCCATTCCACAAATAGACAATCCATAAACGACGCCTTTAGCTCCAACCCTAGACGAGAAGAGATCATATCCCAGTTTGAAAACAGCTTCGGAAACAATCCTCTAAGTTGGCCCCATCCGTACACATTACCAAAGAAGCTGTTTCCTCCCGTTCTGCTCAACGCTCTGGAATCAAAGCAAGTTTTAGACGGACCTAAAATGAACCTTCTGATTCGGTGTTTGTCTGACGGGATCCAGCCCTACACGATCATCCCGAGTGTGAAACAGCGGGAGGAGGTTGTGGAGAAGCTGGTGAATGAGTACCCGCAACTGAGAGACAACACCACTACTGGGTGGAACTCCCATTTCATCAAACTCTCCGAGAGGTTCAAGAACATTAGGAGACGCATCATGCCTGGAAGACGGCCCCGTACATTCCACAACTCAGCGTTTGCAGTTCATCACATTCCTCCTCTCCCCTCCCCCGGGGAGACGGGCTCGGTGGATATAAGTAACATTAAGATTGAGATCAACTGAGACGAGAGAGCTGTCGTCATTGTGACGAGAGGACTCTAATTAAACATTTGAAAATGCTTAGAAATGTTTCCATGTATTTATGCGAGAAGAAAACAGGTGCTCAACTCGAGTAAAAGTAGCACTTAAAATACGGGTTGGCTATCGATATAGCGCATAGAGATCGATAATCGATGTATGTCGGAAACGTAACTTTGAGCAAAAATGCTAAAAATTTCCGAAAGAAATGAATATATTACACATCACTAGTGAATGGTGACATGATTATCATGGATTATTAACAAAACAGCGTTCTGAACATAATTTAGAAGCAGACCACGAATAAAGTCCTGAATTTGTATATTGTGTGAGAAAATTATAACTTTTTTCTATTGATTATCGATCATTTTAGCCAGCCCTAGAAGAGAGCTGTCGTAGTTGTGACCAACTGATAAAACACTTTAAAATGTTTAGCCACACTGACAACAGATACACGACGACTCGAGTAAAATAACACTTAAAACTATTTTCAGTCTGCCTCAATCCCTCTATGGTTTCCGGAATGTTATCATTAAAATGAGTAATGAGATACACAACAGAGAGAACGTTTTTCCTTTTCTTGTTAAACAACATTTATACATTTTCTCCTGGTATGAAAATGTTGACATGACGTCACTCATGAAAATATCAACTTTTTCAGGTTACTCATTTAAATTTAAAGATGAGTGAGTGAGTGACTTTAGATTTACGCTGCTTTTAGCAATATTTCTGCAGTATCGCGGCGGGGCACACAAGAAATGGGCTTCACACGTCGTACCCATGTGGGGAATCAAACCCGGGTCTCCGGCGTGACGAGCGAACGCTTTAACCACTAGGCTACTCCACCGCCCTATTGATATCCCCTTTCTATGCCTTCACTATATCAGACGCCCATGCGTTAATGGTTTTCTTTAGAGATGATGTTTAATGGTTGAAAAAGATGAGAGAGTTAGTTTAGGATTACGCCGCTTTTAGCAAGACACCAGTTAGTAATATCACGGCGGGAATGAAACCCGGGTCTTCGGCATGACGTGCGAACGCTTTAACCACAAGGCTACCCCACCGTCCCAAAGAAAGTTGAAATATTATGATTAAACTAATTTCTGAGAACCTTGTGGGAACTGATGCCAGTATTATGGTCCATGCAGCTGGACAAAGATGTTTTTTATGCATCTAAATTTATTATATGCATTATATTACTATGCCAAAATCTATATTGAATGTGGAAGCCATTGCTGAATGCTGCAAAGAAACTGATATGATTTACAGGAATTGTGTTATCTTGAAAACACATTTGTTTGTATATCTATTTGTAACATTTAATGTTTAATGGTATATTTTTAAAACGGGTTTTATATCAATCGCAATTGCCTTAACTCAATGACCGCCTCCGTGGTACTACTTGCAACCCTTTAATTTCGCGTTAAGGAACCGACTATTTGATTTTCTGGAGAATGAGTAAGTTAAATTTTACACCGCTTTTAGCAACATTACAGCGTGGGGGGCACTAGAAATGGGCTTCATGTACCCATGTGGGGAATCGAACCCGTATCTTCGAGCGAACGCTTTTACCACTAGGCTACCCAATCGCCCCGATTTTCTGGAAAGAAAAAACACTTTCGTTAGAAACACTTTCAACATACTACTCTGTTTAAACATGATATTATCTGGAAAAGTCCAGAAAAATAATGTGCGGTATATTTTCGACTTTGGGGCCCCTTTTCTGACAGATGCACATTCTAGTACGAGCCTAGTGTATAATATATCTGATCGTACAGTTGCAGACACGATTGAGTAGGATTGAGTCAACATCCTTTTGGATGCCCACCAGAAATGGACTTTACCCCTTGGACCTATGGGGCGGTGGGGTAGCCTAGTGGTTAAAGCGTTCGCTCGTCACGCCGATTCTCCACATGGGTACAATGTGTGAAGCCCATTTCTGGTGTCCCCCGCCGTGATATAGCTGGAATATTGTTAAAAGCGGCGTAAAACTTAACTCACTCACTCACTCACTCACCTTGGACCTATGGAGTGAAAAAAAAATAAACCGCTATGAGCGAACACAGTAAACACTAGGCTAACCCAACGCTCTGCTGAAACATGAAGATGAATTAACGCATCTGTGCGGAACAGCAACTGATGAGATGAATTGAGGCTGAAATATCAATATGGCAGAGGCACGAAGTGTTATAACCTGTTCAATGGTGTATAGTCTTTAGCTTTGCCAGAATGCTTGCCATCTTGGGTCATATTTCAATGATTAAAAAACAAACTCTGAATTTCTATTGTCATGTTTGCAAATTGTCTAGGTGTAAGACCAGTACGTTGTCAGCTACCAAAGCACGCCTCTCCCCGATTTCTCGTAACAAACTATGAGTTATGACCTAAGTCTGAAGTTTGTATCAATTTGGATAAAACTCAGCAAAATGTATTTTTCGAAATATACTCAGCTCGTTTTTTCACTCAAACAATTTGAGGAGTTTAGGTTGTTTAGGTCATTACTGCGTTTTTGCCGGAAATGAAAATCAGCGTTGACGAAAGGACTCATCCGTGTTACGAAAGGACAAATCCGCGTTACGAAAGTAGATTTATGACTCATAAGTCTATGTTAAAGTTACGACCGTCGTAGCCGGTCTTGGACGATAGACAAAATCCTCTCGAGATGATGACACCCGATGCCCGAGGAGTGGTTTTTGCTGTTCCGGTTCCTGAGAATTTTATTTATTATTTCCATTGTTGTAAAACAAAATGCTTCAACGAACTGAGCCCATTACTTGTTCCAACGCACGTCCATGCAATCCCGTGTATTCTCGCTCAAGTCTCGTTTTTGTTTTTAACGTTCGATTTGTATACATGTATAGCCATTTCGACTTCCTGGATGTTCCGGCTAGTCAGTCAGGGGCGTAGCTACCATTATGAAAAAAAGCCCGGGCTTACACGTAATTGTTGCTATATAGGTTAGGCAAACCAGTACTATCTAAATATACAGCTTTGCAACCTGTCGGGCTTACACGAAAGAATGGCTTGCGCCTGTCAGTGATGGACGCTATTGTCTGAACGAACATTTCCGTCATTTGTACCTGTGTACAAGCGCCAAGTGGACAAGATCCGACAAGACCAAAAAAGGAGTTGATCCAAATTGCTGATGAATGTGCTTTGGTTGTGTTTTATCTTCAACTCGTAGTGTTATTAATTTCGTTTGTTTGCGTGTTTGTTTGTTTTACGCCGCACTCAACAATATTCCTGCTGCATGGCGGCGGTCTGTAAATAATCAAGTCTGGACCAGACAATCCAGTGATCACGAGCACCGATCTACGCAATTTCGGTCGACCAACCGACCAGATAGCACGGCTGTTACAATGTCCCGTGCAACTAGGCCAATGGTGACTATATTTGTGATGTTTGTGACTGCATTTATCTCCGGTGTTCCCAGCTCATGTAGGGTATTCACGTTGTCAATAGTTTGTTTGTTCTGTTTGTTGTTTAACGCTGCAATGACCGAGTATGGACCAGAAAATCCAGTGATCAACAGCATGAGCAATGATCTACGCAACTGGGATACGGTGACATGTGTCAACCAAGTCAGCGAGCCTGACCACCTGATCACGTTAGTTGTCTCTTTCGACAAGCATGGGTTAGAGACCAATAAATTCTAACTTGGATGGTCCAGTCTCGATTATCATATAGCTGGAATATTTGACTGCCAAAATTGTACGGCGTTAAAACATGACAAACATGTATATGTATGCATAACCAATGAACAACTTATCAGGGCTAAAGTAAACAGCAAACCAACCAAACAACCTAAAGTCCCGCAAGTCATTGTGCAAAGTAGCATTCAGTAGCACCCCAGGGGACGTAAGGACTGACTTAGGGTATCGGGTGGCCAGGCTCGGTGATGTGGTTGACTGCGTGTCACTGTATCGGAGTTTATTGGTGTTCATACGATCAATCACTTGATTGTTTAGTTCAGACTATTTGCAGCCCTCCGTCGCACAGCTAGAAAATTTAACAACGAACAACATGCATTCATTTGTCTCGCAGAAAGATATTTTCATGATTGATTTCCCTTTGGTTTGTATGCACCATTCTTATCTTCGTCAACATGGTAAGCCTCTAAGAGCTGTGTTACATCTTGCTTTCTGATTCAGCCTAATGCCCTTAACCGAAATACTGTCCTAAGCGTCGTTAAATCAAACTATTATTCATAGTAGTGAGTGAGTGAGTTTAGTTTTATCCGCTTTTAGCAATATTCCAGCAATATCACATCGGGGACACCAGAAATAGGCTTCACACATTGTACCCATGCTGGGAATCGAACCCGGGTCTTCGGCGTGACGAGCGAACACTTTTACCACTAGGCTACCCCAGTCACTCTTAGTGTAACGTACAGGGCACTGCTGAGGGAATACGTAGACCGGTCCCGTCGTGTCCCAAACCGGAGCGCCTGGAATTATTTATGGATCATTTCCGATATGCTGAAGGACTGAAAGAGCTGCTCGACGTTCTATCCGAGGGAATCTAGCCCCAGAACATATCGGCCTTCAGCCCACTAAAACCACCGTGTCCGAGCTCGCCAAGCTTTGCATGACGGGACTGATTCGTTAATGTACACGACGTCCCCATTTGCACACGTCGTTGCCCGAAATGGACTTCCTGACAGCGTCATTAGTGGGCTGAATTTTGAATACAGCATCATCGATTTTGAATCCAGTCAATGCCAGTACAAAGATAGCCGATCTCGGGCCAATTAGCCTCGACCAATCAAATGACAGAAAACGTATTGCCGATCAATGGGCGATATTCCCCGCAAATGTTGACATTACATGGAATGGGTAAGAGAGTCTTTGATGGAGGAATGGCTTTAGTGGGCGACACGCTGCCCGGATGCAGAGCGAGCAGGGAGGGATGCTTGTCAAGTCACGACTCGAGTCTACTGAAGTTTCAGAGAACAAGCCGATCTTGTAAGCAAGGCTTCAAGCGTTGGACCGTCAATTCAGTCATCTGTAATATAAGTGACTGAATGTTGCTTTGTGACGCATTTGCAATTTTGAAATTATTGGCAGCGATATAAGAATCGTTTGTTTGTCGTTTAAAGTCGCACTCAGCAATATAGCAGCTATGTTAGCCATTTGTAAATAGCCGAATTTGAACCAGACAATCTAGTGATCAACATCATGAGCATCGATCTACGCAGCTGGAATACGATGTCCGGATCGCGTTAGTCTCCTCTTACGACAAATCCATGCGACGTGAGGTCTGAGTTTATTTTATTGGCTTATTGTGGGAAAAAAAATAACACTCAAGGAATAATTTGTAACTGCATT